TCTATCTATCTATCTATCTATCTATCTATCTATCTATCTATCTATCTATCTATCTCTGGGAACTATGCTATGCAAATGCAAGGACTGGACGCAAAGTTTTCTTTTTCTTCGCCGTTATAACTGTGAATGGTCATTAAACAAGGTAGCTGCTAAGTGAGAACTAAACATAGATGAATTCTAAGATGGTCAATACATTGTTCCCATCATTTTTTCCCCAGACAATAGTAAGGCAGCATTAAATGCATCCTTAATTAGCACACTTACTATTATTATTTTTATAATCCACCTTTATTTTCTACAACTGAAAGCAGCCTCCTATTTCCTCACAATAGAACTCTGAAAGATGGGTTGGGATTGAGAGAAAGCGACTGGCTTTCATGCCTAAGGAAGCCTGGAACTCACAATCTCCTGTTTTCTAGGCCGCCTACACCAAACTAACTATATTTTGTTCCATATTAGCAGGCTTGAAACCCTGCGTTCCTATTGGTTCACAAAGACAGCTACCTGATTGGACAGTCAGGACGGCTGTGATTGGCTCGCTAGGAGTCTACCGTGATTGGATGAAACCAATCGCGGGAAACTCAAAGCGATGTCATTGGCCGCCTAGCCACGGCCAGCTCTATAAAAAGAGCCACCGCGAGCGCTGATTTTTACTTGGGACTAGACTATAAAATAAGGAGCTGTTGTTCACTTAACCTGAGTCTCTCGTCTCTATGAGCCCGACCTGCCGAACTTAACAATTTTATGTTAGCACTTTACAGTTTCCTACCCTGTAACTAAGCTCCTGGGCTCCCACTGATGGGGCTCCTACTGCAAGATCCAATATGCCATCCACATTGAAATCCAAAATTGCTATGGCAGAACCAAATCTTCCTGAAGGCTAGATAGAAGACAGATAGACATATTCATCACACAGATATACAGGCATTTATATGCATGAGCACATGCACATACTTTTCATGAGCGCAGTTATTTTAAAAAGAAGACATATTCAGATAATACATACATCGAGCACTGGTTTTAATGCGATTTCAGTAATAACAAGTTATGACAAGTTATTCTTTATCTCATTAAGTAGGGAGCATTAAGAGCTAAAATGGATTTGATTGATGCTTTATTAAACTCAGTGTCATCTGTTAAATTTTGATTCTTTAAGTAAAAGTCCTTTTATTCCTTACTACAAATTTAATTTAAATCACCAGTGAACTCTATTCACAATTACCAAGAGAACAAAATCTCAGTTGTTTTCCATCTGTACAGAATTTATTTAAACTGTCAATCTTTATGTGTATGTTCCTAGCACTTCTATTCATTTGGTTATTCTGCTCATTTCATTTCTATGACATGGTTTATAAATTAAAAAATACTGCCTGAATAAGCCATGTAAAAGACAAAAACAATGACCAAATGTAGCTGTCAACTCATAAAACATTTTGTATGCACGTTTTATAGTTGACAACAGAAAGGGAGGGGGGGAGTTTCAAAGAGCAGGCAGCAGTGTGGAATTGAAAGTACATTCCATTCATATTTTCTTCGAAGACTGATTAGATGACTGAAGCTTCTGCTGTGAAAAAATCTAATTGGAGACCATGATTGATTACTCTTGGCTATGGATGTTTTTCATTGGATGATACACTCAGAGGTATGGGGGGGAAATGGGATCAAGGGTGACAGTGAATTATGCATTTCAGAGTTGGCTATGGACGTTACCTTCAAATAAATCCTCTTTAGTTTTGGGAGTGTGGCTCGAGGCTCATGATTTAAGTGGAGTAACTGCCGGAACCCTGACAGTAGCATCATTTGTGAGCCTGATCTAGGTCTCCCAATTATTTGATTCTGGTAGCAATTAATATACAGCCTCCCTCAACCTTGTGCCTATAGATGACTTGAAGCATACAGAGGTCACAGTGGCTGGAAATTCTGGTTGTTGTAGTTTTTACATATTTAAAAGGAAAGACCAGGGGTCTTCAAACTTGACAGTTTTAAGACTTGTAGACTTCAACTCCCAGATTTCCTCCTCTAGTCATGTTAGCTCAGGAATTCTGGGAGTTGAAGTCCACAAGTCTTAAAATTTCCAAGTTTGAAGACCCTTGGCTTAGACAATAGTCTAGTTTTAGTAAGCTACAAGAGAAGCCACATTAATGCAATTACTGAAGAAAACATTAATGGAACTAGTGATCCAAAATAAAAACAAAATATATTTTATTATCCACGTTTTGCTACCTTAGTGCCTTCTAGTATTTCATCTGCTTCTTGATCAAGGTCCAGGTTGGAATGAGGCAAACCTGATTCATTACCATAAACAATATAGACACGTCCGAACTGAATGTGTCCAAGCCTGCTGTAACCTGGTGCTCCAACCACCAGGTCATCGTATCCATCCTGATTTAGGTCAGCTGAAGTCATAGCCCTGAATATGAAAAAGAGGGTGCCAATGTCCATTTGTATGACATTTCCTGTGCAGATTTCAAAAATAATTGGATAGTTTCATGTTATAGATGTAATTCCATAGAAATCCTGAAGAGAAATCAGGCAGCCCAACTTAAATCCAGAAATGCCAACAGACATACAGATAAGAAGTACATCTGTGCAGTAAGCAAGTAAACATAGTGAAGAAAACATCCCAACTTTTACATTTCATCAACTTAAACCTCCAGCACTCTTCCCCTCATGAAGCCCAATTATCCCCCCCCCCCCCCGTTTCTATGGAAGCTGGAAAGACAAGGAGAAGAAGGATTCTTGGAGGCTGACAGGAACATAATGACAATATTACATGTGATGAATCTGCATACTCCACTTTATGAAGCATAAAGTGCTTAATAGCCTGTTACATTGCCAGATCCCTCCTGGATCTCACATTCTGTTTGCTTTTATTTTAATATATTACTTTTAGAAAAAAAATGGAACAACAAAAACACATAAACACCTCAGAACTTGTAGTTATCCTAACTGAGCCTTCATCAAATCCACAAAAAGATCCAATAGGAGCACTTTCACAAGAGATAGAAAAGAAGATAACAACAAATGAAACAACGTTGTCATTCCATATGTTGCAGGAATATCGGGAAAGCTCAGGAGGATTTTCAACAAACACAACATAAGCGCACTGTTTAAATCCGGGAATACATTTGTTGGGTATATGGATACACCAACTAGGTTTGGGTGACTAAATATATAAACCTAGTTTTAAGTGTTTGTAGCTTTAAGCACCAAACTGCAATGTAATTAGATAATTAAGGGTGCGGTTGCAAGCAGCAATAAAAGGCAGTGAGAGTAACGTAACACTTCCTGGTTACTGGTTCCTGTTCTGGTCTGCTGTTCTGGTCTCTGGTCTGGCCTGGTCTCTCTGCCTGCTGCCTGCTGTTTACTCCTGTTTGGGACGTCTGCTTGTTAATGCTTGTTGGCTACTGTGCTGGATACCGTTTCTACTGAACACAAGGACTGTTTCCTTGGTTAGCTGATATCCTGTGCATACTCAGCGTTGTCTTCGAGAGAAAGGTATCGGAAGGAGAAGATAAGGACATTGTACTGACTAGTTAATGGACTAGGTTACTGGATGGATATATTGGATAATGACATATGGACTGAATGACAATGCTTAAACTCTAAATGAATTAAATAACAATTTAAAACTACAAACAGTGTTTTTGTCTCCAGTGTGTGTATACTCATGGGCCCAGCCTCTCTCTCATTTGGCTGCCTGGCTTGACTGCTGCTGTGCACTCTGCTTGGGGGTTTGTCCCCAAACACTAACAACATTATCACATAAATTTGTCCACTCTAAGGACAAAACACCCAGACATAAACAGAGCAATGTTGTATATGCAGTGCAATGCAGTGAGAAATGTGTAGGCCTGTAGACTGGGGAAACTAAACAACCACTTCAAAAATGCATGGCGCAACACAAGAGAACCAACTCATTAGGATAGGATTCAGCAGTCCATCTTCATCTGAAAGACGAGGGTCACATTCTGGACAGAGAAGACCAGTGGTTTGAAAGAGAAGTCAAAGATGCTATCTATATAAAAATCGAACAGCCCTCCCTCAACAAAGCGGGGAGGGATATGGCACTACTCATCTCCTGTTTACAACACAGTCCTTTCAGCAGTCCCAAGAAAGTTCCATACTCATTTGCACTTTGATTCAGGTCATCTGAGGATACAGATAAACCCTCAAGTGGCCTCAAGGACTCTCAGCATGGTAACAACCAGCCGACTGCAAAGAATATAAATCCTTCCATTCCCCACCCAGTTAGCTGGAACTGAAGAAGCTTCTTGGATGAGAAGTGAAACATTTTCAAAGGAAAAAGCTAGGAAAGTCCAGTTGTCTTTTGAGAGAGAGAAAAAAGAAAGGAAGATTGAGAGTCTCCATAGATATTCATTCACTTACATTCTGGCAAGTTTATTTCTAAACCAGTGAAGCAATTATATATTATTAAGATAGTAAAGGTATTCAAACAATGTAAGTTTGTTTAAACAATACATATATATATACATACATACATACATACATACATATACATATACACATACAGAGAGAAAGAGAGAGAAGCAGAAACAAATGAATAAATCAGCACTCACGATCCAAGTTTTGCATAAGGAGTTTTCAGAAAATATGAAGCACTGGGCTTGGTGATGTATTTCGATGAGCGTCGCTGTGGGACTCCCAGCACATTCATCAAACTCGCTCCTATGTCACTATTTTGGAACTGGAGATAATTCTGGGAAATAATAGGTGACCAAAAACATTGTAACTATTTACTGGATGCTGATGGAGTACCGATTTATTTTAGATGTAAATGTCCATTTGTCATTTTGCAGAGACATTATTGCAACATAGAAGCCTGGCATGACATTGGCAGAGCTATTGCTGTAGTAGAGTGTTGGTTTCATTATATATAGAAGATATCAATGCAACACATGGCACTGGTTTCTTGAATTGTTTGCTAACGAGAAACGTTTTCCTGGAAGATTTTTTTTTAATCTTCTGTCAATTAAATACCAGCATAGTGGTCATTCAAGTTGTTAGTTATTGCTACAATATGTAGGCTGATATACAATGAGGGTAAAAAAAATGAAAAAAAAGAGAAGAAAGGGATCTTTTTGCTGCCAATTTTCTCAGCACCAGAAAGACTTGCTACCCGCCCTCCAATCCACCCCCTCTCACACACACAGCTAAACTATTCACTGACTTTTCACTAAACTTGTCTGGGCAGCAATGGGAAGCCACCGCTTTTGTACTGGAGCAACAAATCACAGGCAGGTCAGGGCAGACTAAGGAACACATTACACGTCCATTCCTGGCCTCAAGAAATACCAAGTAGGTCATCCTTGCAGTGGTGGGATTCACTACATATTTTAAGAGTTGACACCCATTCTGTGGGCGTGTCTTGGTGGGCACTGGCATGTCTTGGTGGGCGTGTCTTGGTTTGGTGGGAATGGCTTGGTAGGCGTGGCAGGGGAAGGATACTATAAAATCCCCATTCCGTCCCCACTCCTGGGAGAAGATTACTGCAAAATCCCATTCCCTTCCCACCCTACTAACCTGCTTTCCAGCTCCCTTCTCCTGTGCAGGGCCACAAAAGAAGACCCAGATGATCAGCTGGGACACGGGAGGCAGAGAATAGAGAGGGACGGGGCCAATCAGAGATGGTATTTGCCAGTTCCATGAAATACTCAAAATTTCTGCTACAAGAACTGGTCAGAACCTGCTGAATACCACCTCTACATCCTTGAGTAAAACACTGCTTGGAGTGTACTCCTACTAATGGAAGACAACATGGCTCTAATCTATGATCATTGGACCTCCTCAGATTCTCAGTTTCATTTTGCAGCCAACAGAATTGCTGGGAAAACAACTCAAAAACTGATGAGGATTACCCAAAGCTACCAATTCTCTCAGTGCTTCACTTTCTGCATGGCTCCTTTCTCTTTTCCCCATCATCAACTTTCATTTCTCTCCCTCTTCTGAACCCATCCAGCAATTCGCGCCCAATTATACTGCAATTTTAGAGTCAGATTCTATATATTATATTTCTACATACTATATTTATAAAAGAATAAAATTTACAACAAGATTAAAGCCCAGCCAGGCCGTTCTGCATATATGCCAATGCCACATGTACATGCAAATGTGGAAGGGGTTGGATCATCTTGCGACAACCACCACTGTGCCTATTTTGACCTCCCTTGCACATACCACTGAGCCGAGATATTATTGAAAGAATAACATTTAAAAGAATTAAAGAAACAAAAGATGTCCAATCCTGAGAATCTTCAGCAATTAATGTCTAAATTGCAATCATGTATCTTGTCATCCATATTTAGAGTTAGACCCAAAAGAAATTACCTTTGTCCAATGGGGAACTTTTAAATAAACTCCTCTTTCTGTATAACTGATATTCTTTTCAATTGATTTGGCCACATCAGAAGTTAATTTCCTGTGGTGTTGAGTTCTGGATTCTTTAAACCTATTGAAATAAGATTCAATAAGTAGAAATTTTCTGTACTGGAAGTTAAAAATGGGATAAGTATCGGGCTGGCTAAATTCACATTGCAGACAGCAAAAATATATGAATGAATTTTTTTAAAAATCAAATATTTTAGTTACAAAATAAAAGGTTTTCCTGTTTTTCAGAATTGAGACTGTGATTGCTCTTAAATAATTCTGAAGCAAGTTTGTGTTTAATTTAAATGCTCATTCCCTTGTTGTCTCTGCAGTTCTTCACACTGGAGATTTTAATATTTTAATATGTTTTTTAAAAAACGACAGTTTTTTATTATAAAGTTTATACCAGCCCTTTATTTAAACCACTTGGAGTCACCATGAGTGAATTGCGTGGCCATATAAAGTTTCTTAGTAAAATTAAAAGAAATTGAAGCTGATATTATTGTCGTCTCTTGTAGCAAAATTGCTGACTGTGGAATCATTGGCATCAATATTAGTTAAATATAAATTTTAATGAAATGAAATGATATTATGTTTTATTAACATATTACTGACATTTTGTGTACTACTAATGTAGCGAATATTTGTAAGCTACCTAGAGACCATTTTGGACTGAGGTGGTGAATAAATTGCATAAATAAAGTAATATCTCAGCAATAACTATTTTCTGCTATGTACTTATAAGATGCCTTTAATACATCTTGTTTAAAGATAGAAAAATAAATACAACAATTTGAAATGAAACCATGAAAAAACTACATTATTTCCCATATTAAAGAATAATATAAATCTTGGAAGTAATTCAGGCCACTACTTACATTAGGCTAATTAATATACTCACATCGGAAAGTTTCTCTGTTCGCCTTCACACCGAATAAACAAAGGATTCTCGGGAATAAAGCAGCCACTGAAAAAACATTAATAGATGGATTGTATTTAATATGTTTCAACTTTTAGCATGCTCACAACTCCCCCTACATAGACCTCATTTAGTGACTGTTTCATTTAGCGACCATTTGGTTACAACAAGCGATGACGAAGTAACTTTATAACCAAACCATGCATTTATGACCTTCCCAGATCTGTAAAGCAAGGGAAAGCTGAAGTATTTTTAGCATATTAGTAATACTCTACAAGTTAAAATTAAAGATAAATTCTAACAAGCAGCAATGAAATACACATTCCATACTGTCCACATTTTGAATCACAATTGTTGAATCAAGATTTTGAGGAAAAATGCACTTTTCCATGTAGAAAAAAACAGGAACAATCATCTGGAATTATTAACAAATACCTCACCTAGTCCCATAGTTTAATATCCAACTGGTTAACTGAAAAATGTTATTTGATGCGAATGCCATATCATCCACTCCACCAACAAAATAGTCATAGAACTTGTCCAATAAAAATGGGGACTTATTGGCATATATGGGGTAAAGCTGTGAAGAATAAGATGCAATTTAATTAGCAAGTTGGCTATTTCAACATTCAATCCCAACAAATTTCTTTTTTTAGAAAAATATACTTACTTTGGAAGCAGCGATGATCTCAGCATAGCTATGGAAGCAAGTATTTATAATTTACTATCATTATTGAACTTTTCAATGAAGAAAAAAAAATGCTTCTTGAAGACCAAATTTTGTACATTGCCTTTAACAGTGCCAAAAAGACACAGTAGATATTCTGAAACTCATAAAATTCATGTATCATTTAAATGACGGCTACGAACATTTTTATTAGGAACATAATGAGCTAATTCCAATTAAAATGTTCCGAATGAAGTACAGGTCATTATGAGATAAAGTACAAGTTTCATATTCTTATTTTTCCTGCCCGCTTTCTTCTCCCTCTTTTCCTTCCTTTGTTCTGATTAGCCACAATTTAGTGTTATATCTATACACCGAAAAAACATAGTACACATTAATTGTAGTTTATTGAAGCTAGTGCATTATAAATGTTTACTATGAAAGCAATGATCAGCGACAGACCTAGAAAATGTTGAAATACTTCTTCATTATCCTGATACTGATTTCAAAGTTACACTGTGTACTTTTCTTAAAATGAATGAAGGTATTTATATGAACATAATCTGCCCTATTTAACAGGATCAATACAGCTGGCAACTTTAAATAAATATACTATAAGGTGGCTATCACATACAATATATATGTATATTGTTTGCTTTTGACTCCAGCCAATAATCACAATTGTCTGGTTATGACATTATTTTAAAGAATAACCAGCAAAAATATTGAAACAATAAAAGCAATAAAATACCTTAATTAATAGCCTAGGAAAGAAATAATGAAAAGATACAATAGCCATTATCCAAAGATAATGTATGTTCTTAAAATGAAACAAATAATCAAACTATAAGATGAAGGGATTAGAGTTGACGTGCCTATTGAAATAGATCGATATACTTCACTAGGAAAGATATTTCTCTTCTGCTTCTAGCCACTTTATATGTATATATTTTATTTCACTACCAGTAATCCCCAACTTATGACCCATTCATTTAATGAAAATATAATGACGCTGAACAGTCCTCAAAGTTATGACTGTTGGTCCGCTCTCATGGTCACATGATCACAATTTGGGTGCTTGCCAACCAGCTCGTGTGATTGTGATTTGTAACCATCTGGCTTCCCACAAGCAAAGGCAATGGGGGAATGTTGGATTTGACTGATTGCCTGATTGATTTAATAACTGCTTGATTCGTTTAACAATTGCAGTAAAAATGGTTATAAAACAGAGTCCGGTCATGGGATGACTTCCTTAATGACCACATAGTTAGCAACCAAAATTCCAGTCCCAATTGTGGTTATTAAAATTTAACACTCCCATACATCCTTTATAACCTTATTTAAGCTCTTAGATGTATTTTATCAGATAAAATTACCAAACTATTTATCATCGTACTAGTCCATCTACCTTATTGGAGACCTGCTCCCTAAATATAAAAATATCCCCTCAATAAGATTTCCCCTTTTTACACCTAATTTTATCCAACTTTCACCACATACCAGCGTTTCTTCAACCTTTGCTTGACAACCCTTCACTAATTAACAAACTCTCCTCACTTGTTTTAAAACATGTTATCTTTTACTCTGACTTACAGATCAAGTAGTTGCAAATATGTGCAGTCAACAATAGTGTTTTCGGTTATCACTTCCTTTCCATAATAATCCTCATAGATTGACAGTAAATCTTTAACAGGTACATACCTAAAAGTATTAATATCAGAATTTTGATCGAAGCCAACAAGATGCACTGACATAATAAATTATCCAGATAAGTATTGGAAATATTATAGAAACCGAATACCAATCAAACAATAAATCAGCAATATGTAACTGGTAGCATGATGCAGCTTAGCTATACTGTAGTGCCCAGGTTTTGTATTCCAAGAATCTTAAGTTAAATTTTTGATTTAATTCTCCAGGACTAGGAATTTAAGCTCCTGGAGGAAAGGCTGAATAGAAATCTAACAAACAAACATAGATGAAAAAGAATTAATATAGACAATACTCTGCTCTATAATACAATATTTAGAGTTACAGTAAACAAAAAACTTAAACTGCACATCACAATGCCCAATTTATTGACTTTATTTTCTTGGGTGTAAATATAGTTGGTATAATCTTAGACTGTCCAAATTCTTCCCCTGCTCTCCATTTTTTTAAAAAATAGAAACATTCAACAACCTATGATTACAGCTTCAAAGATTAATAAAAGTAAAACTGAACTGAAATAAGCAATTGGCAAATAGTGTAAGATTTCTCAGAAATATAGATTTTATATGTTCTGTGAACCTGACAATGGTTAATAACCTAGTTGCCACAATTTGTACCAATTGCATTTGTATAAAGGTAACCCTAGACAAAGTGCATTAAAGTAATCAGAGCAGAATGTAATCAAGGTATGGGTACCATTACCAGAAATGAGGGTTGTATTAAGTGAACCATGAATACTAGATGCTAATATGATGCATTTAGCATTATGTAAGGCTGTAGGCTATCCTCTACTACACTGAACAAGTAACCTTTGATCTCCTTAATCCAATACAACATTAGACTCTAATTCACAATGGTTCTTGGGCACCTGACTAGCTGAGAAGAAAAAAATAACAGACTTCAGCAACTGTTTCTCTCTCATTTTCCCTCTGCAATTTATAACACTATATGAGTGCATGTATGTCTATATGCATCAAATATCAACAGGCACATTTGTGGGCTCTTACCAGCTTGCTTTCAAATAATCAAAATCAAGTTCATATTGGCTTAACACATCTCCCCCTAAAATTAGAATGAAAGGAGTGTATGACATTGATTTATTAAACAATAACAAAAGATGTATCTTTGACTTGAAACTTTATGAATATAATCCCTTATATCATATGATTTAACCTAACACAATTTTAACAGGAAAACCATTCATGTCTGAATAGAGCTCAAATAGGTATGACATATTGCGAGCATTGCAGTAATATTGGCTAAGTCACATGGGTTTTTCGTATGGCAGTTCTTCTATGTGGGTTGGGGTTTTTTCTCTCCTTTATAGATAGCAACACATATTTTATAGCCATAATGGGACAGTATCAGAGGTGGTATTCAGCAGGTTCTGACCAGTTCTAGAGAACCGGTAGTGGAAATTTTGAGTAGTTTGGAGAATCGGCAAATACCACCTCTGACTGGAGATTTTACAATAGCCTTCCCCTGCCACACCAATCAAGCCACACCCACAGAAGTGGTAGTAAAAAAAATTGAATCCCACCACTGGATAGTATCAAAGGAATTGGAATGCCAGTGATAGTCTTTGAAATGTCAGCCCTTGTGCAACAAGGATCAAATGGCTTATGAAACTCAAATTTCAGAAAACCTTGTGATACATCATGGAAATCTACAATTTTAGAAAATCACACTGGTTATATACAGACCAGAGGTGGTACTCAGCAGGTTCTGACTCAGCAGTTCTGGAGAACCGGTAGCAGAAATTTGGAGTAGTTTGGAGAACTGGCATATACCACCTCTGACTAGAGATTTTACAGTATCCTTCCCTGCCACACCCACCAAACCATGCCCACAGAACCAGTAGTAAAACAAATTGAATCCTACCACTGATACAGACCTGTGAATAATGTAAAGTTCCATCTTAATGCAAAGTGGAATCTATAATTTATAGCTCCATTAAACTATATCTAATAGAAATATATCAGAAATGGAAAACAGCAGCTGATATATATTGAATATCAAATTGTTCTAGGGACAGGGAAACCAAAATGGAGAACGTGGTATATGTGTATCATAATATGGTATATGTGTATCATAATAACCCTCACATACACATAAACTTTTCAAACAAAATTATAAAATGCCATCTCCAGAGTCTAATAACCTTGAGACATTCAAAGGAAATTTGGGGAGAGTTTTCTAGGATTTATAAGTACATAAATTACCAAAATCACCAGTAGAATGAGCTTGTGAATATGAGCCATGAAAATCAATCTAAATAAAAAAGGAACAATATTATTTATAATTCACTATCTTTTTAACAACTAAAGAAATGTTAAGTGCTTTTTAAAAAATTCTTCTTTTTTAAAACTAATTCAGTTTGTAGAGATAAGAGTCCCTTGTGGCTTTTTCCCTGCCTGTGTATATAGGAATTCCCCACCAACTTGTTTGTTTTGTCAGTTGATTGCAAAAATCCCTTCTTTTTCTTGTCTCTCTTCTACCTAGTATTTTCAGAACTATTCTAGTGCTTTAATTCAGCCCCGACATATAAACAGCTTTGCAGTTAGCGGCTTTTGTCCATAAAAAGCTAAAATAGAAACCCAATAGGCAAATATTTTTGCTATAAGCTATATAAATGTTTTAAAAGAGCAACATATGGATATTCAAAGATGTGGTTGAAACATTAGTCATTAAAATATATATAGTTTTTTTGTTATGGTTTATTAAAGCATTGCAGACTGCCTGCATCTGGTTTATTTTTTAATATTCTACTGGCATTTACTTGAATGAAGCAAAATAATAAACACAGTTGTAAAATAAGCACGTGGAAAAACCCTATGCCTGGAAACTGAACACTACTTACAGCTGCCATGGCCCGTAGAAATCCTTGTTCAATCCCCAAGCTGTGCCAGCTTACATCTGCCACCATGTGTGAGGCAATCCCAAAGAGAAAAGCCACCAGCTTCTCTGTAGCCTATGTACCATTATTTTTTTTAAAAAAAACTCCATAGTAACATCATTAAAACCAAGTGGACAAAAGACAGACAACATGACAACTGTGAGCCAATCTATTTGGTGATGAAAATTGATTGCAATTTCACAAATATAAATATGAATTAGGTAATTTTAGTTTTAGAATAGATTAGAGTAGAGTGGAGTAGAGTAGAGTAGAGTAGAGTAGAGTAGAGTAGAGTAGAGTAGAGTAGAGTAGAGTAGAGTAGAGTAGAGTAGAATAGAATACCTTTATTGTCATTGCATTCTATAAATACAATGAAATTTGAAAGCTGCTCCAGCGCAGTGTCCCAAACACATCACAATCACACTACAGAGTATTTAAAAATTAAAATAATTATTAAAAACCTAATCTAAAACCTATCTAAAACATATAGTTAGATAGTTTAAAAATGCCACTACGTACAGAGGGCTAAATCACATATGCATTGTTTGATTCAAGACAATTATTGCCTTGGAAAAGAAACGGATTCTCAGTCTATTAGTCCTCTATTTAGTAGTTGAAATGGTCAGGCTTCATATAAAAGATAGGCTCTAAAAGCAAACATGAATGAGATGGGAAAAGGTTGCAAACACGAGTCTATAGACCTATTTGATTTAGAAGGTTTCTTCCACCACCAAATTAGAAATGAATAGACCACTGTAGAAATTGCACTAACAGTAATCATATGCCCTTTCTTATACGTAGCCCTTTATTTCAAAAAGCTGCCCCTTAGACCTATTTTTCAAAAACCCACTTTTGTCCTTTATTTCGTCCTTTTAACTTTTACTGTACAAATGCTACCACTTAGCGCACAGCCTTCCCCATTGTGAAAAATATGGAAATGGAACTATCTTTTTAAAATAAATTTACATATGCTGTTTGATTTCAGACATTTTTTATTATCTAGATATTTTTGTAAGGCTTTTATTTTTTGTTTTTGCTCTTGAATTTGCATTTGTAAAAAGTTCTAAATACTGTATAAACAATAGTTTATCCTTATGAACCTCTTTTAGATTTCTCTCCTTTTCCGGTTTGTCTTTTATTTTTCCAGAAACATATGATCACTGTAATTAAAGCATATCTTACTAGTTGAGAATCAGCAGAAGAATAAAGGATAATTCCAAAAGACTATTCGTTTACCTTACCTGAATGATCCTTGGGTAGTTATTATTGACTGCTACATTTTCAATTATATATATTTTTATAGTATTTCCACCACAAGTCAGATGGAATGAGAACCTAAAGCTCTGTTTTTAGCTAATTAATACAGCTGCCTAATTGATCATCAAAATAATTGTCAATATTTTTTCTTACCTTCTATTTTTAGGTGTAAAGATGAAAGAGAAATGTACAGTTTTTGAAAAGAGTATTCAGGGCTTCACAGGGAACAACAGATGGAAACCATTATTACCTCTTCCCACGGCTGAGGATAATTCTTTCTGATGTAATGGATACTTGTGTTGAGAAAAGGTGACCAGTGAGTGTCTTCAGAAACATAATGGTATATCCCTGACAATTCAGAAAACAAGGCTTATTAAAAAAAACAACCCCTCATATTTATTCTACATCTTGCATTTTATTCATACAGAATGTAACATTCAGTAACATTTTAATGGTAAAGTACTACATGAAAATATTTTAATGTATACAGCAAAACATTTAATAAAATCCCAATAATGTGAATAATAAAAACGTCCAAGATCCCACGCCAAGATCAAAAACATTCCCAGAAGAATGCAGTGAGAAGCAAGTTCTGCACTGTGTTGTTATATCCTCAAAATCACCAGAAGTCAGCTTTGATTTAAAATAGACTTTACTTTATCTGTTCACTGAGTGTCCCCTGATTTTAATACGATACACACTAATAAAAGTTTCAAATAACTGCAGCATATTGTTAGATCTGAAGATGGGCTAGATAGTCCTAGAGAAGATCAACCCTGACTGCTCTTTAGAAGGCCAGATCCTGAAGATGAAACTCAAATACTTTGGCCACCTAATTAGAAGGAAGGACTCACTGGAGAAGAGACTAATGACGGGAACGATTGAGGGCAATAGAAGAAAGGACAACAGAGAATGAGGTGGCCAGATGGAGTCACTGATGCAGTAGGTATGAGCTTAAATGGACTCCAGAAGATGGTAGAAAACAGGAAGGCCTGGAGGAATGTTGTCCATGAGGTCGCAATGGGTCGTACGTGACTTTGCAACTAACAAAAACACCCATATACTGTAAGCCAAAATCATAAAGTAAAACCACAGTTAGTCAAGAAGAGAAATGCCTCATTAGGATCTAAAGAAGAGACGTTCTCCTACATGATTGTAATGCATCAAGAACTTAATTCACACCTATTGATGTATTCCAGACAACTTCATTCATAAATGGACTGGCCTATTTTTGCAATAATGTGATCATATTAAAAAAATTAACATTTGACCTAGGATGTCCTACCGTTTTGGCAGATGCCAGAATAAAAAGCATCAGGATATAGACTTCCTGCTTGAAACGCATCTTGGTGAGCTAGTATTAACTGCACAAAGAAACAAATATATAAACATTCAAATGATATTATTCTAATGGTTAAATTTTTTATGTTTATTTAACCAAATCAAAATCATTCCGCTGAAAGATTAGAGAAAGCAAGAGAAATAAGTCACTCCACATGATTTGTCTTTAGTATCAAACTATTAGAAAGTTGTTCTAAATAGGGATCTGCCTTGGCTAATACACATTAACAGTAGTTTCTGCAATAAGGTAACTTATTCAACTTAAATCCAAATGTGCACCTTTTTCAGTATGATGCCCTTCAACATGTTACAGAAAATTCTGAGAGCTGTCCTCAAAATACCATCCAGATTGGGAAGTCTGTTCCTTAACTATCCCTCCTCATATTATTCAACAACAATATACTCTGCAGATATTTGTCCTACATTTCCAAGCATGAAGTCAGAAGCTGATTGGAATCTATCAACTTTTAGGAAACTATTATGCTGGTCAGTGAAAGAGCTTCCTACATATCTTACTAGCCTACATATGCAGCGAAGTAGCTGAAAAAGTAAAACATTGTACACATTAGTATTTAAATTATTATTTATTTTTCTTCCCACCCAGTGGTGGGATTCAAAAATTTTTACTACCGGTTCTGTGGCCGTGGCTTGGTGGGCGTGGTGTGACTTGGTGGGTGTGGCTTGGTGGGTCAGGGGAAGGATAATGCAAAATCTCCATTCCCACCCCACTAACTTGCTTTCCATCTCCGTTCTCCTGTGCAGGGCAACAAAAGAAGACCCAGCCAATCAGCTCGGACTCAGGAGGCAGAGAATATATGGGGGTGGGACCAGTCAGAGGTGATATTCCAAACTACTCAAAATTTCCGCTACCGGTTCTCTAGAACTGGTCAGAATCTGTTGAATACCACCTCTGCTCGCACCCAACAAAGTGACTACTGTTAAAAACACAATTAAAATCTATCCTATATTTATGCATGTAGTGTTTTCCTGGCTGATACAAGCCAACAGGGTTGACCTGCATCAGTTCTTTCAATTGAATAGTACCAACCTTTGGGACCGAAATTCACCCTGAAATCTGAGTGGCTCTAACTCTGATAACATTCTCTAGAGTCTAGACTGGCTTGAAAACCTGGTTCTTCTTCCAGAATTCTTCTTGGATTAGGGTGGCTAGAATCTCTTTTGAGTTCCATCTTGGCTACTTTCAGTATCTTGTTCTTCATCTGCTTTTCTTACTGGTTTTTCCTAGTTGTTTTTTTTTAAATTGTATTCTATTTTCTTTGTTATACAGGTAGTCCTCGATTTACAACCATTCATTTAGTGACCATTCCAAGTTACAACAGCACTGAAAAAAAAAGAGTTATGACCATTTTTCACACTTATGACTGTTTTGGCATCCCCCATGGTCATGTGAGGAAAATTCATACACTTGGCAACTGATTCACATTTGTGATGGTTGCAGTGTTCTGGGGTCATGGGATCACCTTCAGACAAGCACAGTCAATGGGGAAGGCAGATTCACTTAACAACTGTATTACCACCTTAACCACTGCAGTGATTCACTTAATAACTATGGCAAGTAAGATGAGGCAAAATGCACTTAACAACTCTCACTTAGCAACAGAAATGTTGAGCTCAATTGTTGGCCATAACTCAAGGACTACCTGTATTGTGCACCACCAGTAGTCATTTGAAGTTGAGCGGAAATTTAATTTAATTTAATTCTATAGCCCTATCTATAGGCTGGGCATTACAGTACTGATACATGTTACAATAATAAACCCCCTACCTTACGATAGTCAACTTGTCCAACTTGCTGGCTGAAAAATTCCATCCCTCTATGAGCTGGAAAACAATAAGATCACAATACATTTAGTGATGTGCATTTGTAATAAGATCGAGAATCAGGCATAGCTTTTCAGCCACTAAATATCCACATTTTATATAGGTACTCACAGCGGTGGGATTCAAACATTGTTACTACTGGCTCTGTGGGCATGGCTTGGTGGCATGGCAAAGGAAGGATACTGTAAAATCTCCATTCCCTCCCCACTCCTGGGGGAAGTTTACTGTAAAATCTCCATTCCCTCACCATCCCACTAACCTGCTTTCCAGCTCTGTTCTCCTGTGCAGGGCAACAGAAGAAGACCCAGCCAATCAGCTGGGACTCAGGAGGCAGAGAATAGATGGGGGCGGGGCCAGTCAGAGGTGGGATTTGCCGGTTCTCCGAACTACTCAAAATTTCCACTACCGGTTCTCCAGAACTGGTCAGAACCTGCTGAATACCACCTCTGGGTACTCACACATACTTTCCAAAATGCTGTGCCTTTCCCCACAGTTCAGTTATCTCTCTATCCTTCAGCCAATACACATTATGTTTTTATTTTAATGACCCTGTAATCCTTTACATCAGGGTGGAGTTGGGATGATTGAATGGAGCACAAGTGTTTACTGGCTGGATGCCCTTCCTGATACCTGTGCAGAGCTCACAGCAGAAAAGTACTCATTGCGCCCAGAGAGAAATATTTGCCTGTATCTAGGATTGAACTCACAGCCTCCTGATTGTCAAGCAATACAATCTAGGCCACCATGCCACCCTCAGCCAACAAAAAATAAACCAGCACAAATGTTCTGTCCTCATTACAGATCTCTAACTGGCTTCCTGGTCCTCTGTTCTGGCTTACTGCCAAATGGTTGTATCTTGATTTCATGTGTGCAAGTCAGGTTAATGACAACATTTACTATTTTCTCTGATTTTGCTGCTTTTTCCTGAATTACACCAACCAGCAGGATTCTCTCTGCCAATCATGAATACAATTAGCTGTCAAAAACTCTCGAGGTGGATAATCCAAGGCAATGGTCTCTAAAAATAGGAAAGGCTCTCCTGTTTAACTAGGAAACCCAGATGATCATCCACTGGACAGGCCTGTTTTGATACTATGTTTAGGCTAAGACTAAACAGGCCCCTCTCAATTCATGGATGAACTGCTTTCAAGCGGGCCTCTTTTGACAGCGAGTTTAATTCTAAACTTAGGTCTCCAAATAACACTTCCCAGCATCTCATCAAAATATCTGGGTAAGGAAAAACCCCACCACACACAAACATATTAGCTGACCAATGGCCTTGTTTTGACGATGGATATCCAAAGAATGGTGTCAAAAATAGCCAACAAGGCAATTGATCATTATAGCAACCTAGAAAAGCAGAAATGCTTTTGCTTCTCGAATGCTTTTTAAATATGTAGTCAAAACAAACCACTGAACTACAGACTACGTATGGTACATGGTTTGATTTTCAGATCTCGATACTATGTGATTTTCTCCAATTCTTGTCTTCTGTTCTACTATTATTACTGCTACTACTTATCTACTTTTGCCAACAGCTTACCTATTTCAATGTGTGTTGACAGACCACATGGCATAATTCTTTCACAAAAATTGCAAAGTACAGTCAGCATCAGCCAAATCCTGGAAGTTTCCATGCCACTGATAATGTTGTATATGCACAATTTTGAAGATGGGTTCAGTAGGACTGCAACCTTTGAAATATGAAAGTAGAGTATATTTCTGAATCAAATAGGACAATGATGCAAAGGCCCCATGCTTGAAATTCAATTCCATATTTCTTTCAACTAGCTAATAGATTATTTTATTTTAAAGACAAGAATTAGACCAAGAGAAACCTAAAATCCTTTACTCATTGGTAATGTCAAATCGTGCCTAAAATTGAAAAGGTGAATATTGTTAAAGTGAGCGCTTAGAAAAATCCCTCTTCTAATTGTTGATTATATAGCCAATCAAGAGTTATCTTTAAATGGATAGCTCCTGTGCTTCAACTAAAAGTCATTGCTTAATGGAGTTTCTGTCATATAAAATAAAGAAGCCAGAGACAAATATAACAGTTTACAAATACAAGATCTTATCTACCTTAAAATTAGGAGTTCTGTGTTTACATAATAAAATGTTCATCTGGGAGCCTCCCTTGCCAAATACTGTAGCTGTACCCCCCCCAAAAAAAATATCACCAAACAATATCCATCATTTTGAAAAAAGCATACATATATATATATATATATATATATATATATATATATATATATACACACACACACACACACACACACAC